TGGCGGTAGTAAACGAAACGTGAAAACGAGAGAGACAGGGTAAAAGCTTATTGACGTTTGCAAGCACTGAGAGAAAGGAAAAGAAAGAAGACACAACGCCCGTTATTGTCACTAGACCGGTTAATTAAGGCAAATTAGGAAGCACATGCACACAGAAGCAGACACCGACGTCGCCTCTGACACGGCGGACACTGGCAGGCTGTCGTCACTGCCGCCACCACCAACACAAAAATACCGCTGCTGCAATTTACGAGAGAGTTGGGCTTTAATTAAAGAGGAGACGAAAACAAGGAGCTGCCATCATTTTGCCGGTTGTGTTTACCGAGACAGAATGCAGGCCTGAGATGCACACAAACACAAACAGTGACTGTGTGGAACCTAAATGGGGCGCGGGCCAGTGTCTGGTGCACCAGTGACTTCATATATGTCTGAAGATGGGACACCTCACACAGTACTGGAAAGAGATGTCAAACGAGGAAAAAGAAGAAGAAGAAGGGTAAGAAGAAGAAGGGTAAGAGGAAGAAGGGTGCACTTGGCCTGCACTTGGGCCAAATTTCAGTAATGACGCTGGATGGAACACACAGCCAAGAAGAGCACCAGGAACTGTCAAAACATGTGCCGCCTCTGGAGACGACGGCAGCGAAAACAGTGGTTCAGCATGCATGTGCACTACCGCCAACAGTCAGTCAGTCAGTCAATCATCAGCGGGAACAAGCCACAAAGTGGTAATAAACATGAGAATACCCAGTTCAGTGGAAGTCGATGGGGAATGAGCACCAGAGAACAGACGACAAGAAGGCATCTGATTAAAAATGGATTATGTGTGCACTGGGGTAGTGAAACAGCAGCAGCAGCAGTTGAGGGTCTGGAAGGTCACTTGATCAATACTGACTTTTCTACAAAGTTATTAGAAAAGACTGGCCAGTGTGACAAATGCATCAACAACAGCAGTATCTATGGGCAAGCACACGTGCCAGGTTGCCATTGGTAACTTGGTGAAAAGTGCGCACACATTGTTCTACTCAATGGAAGAACAGTGGTATACTGAATAAGCACACACACCAAGAAAGACACCCAACAAGCGACACAAACAATAACGTCAATAATAATGAAGTACGAAGTAATGGAGACTGGCTGGTAACAAAGAGAAAGATTGTTTTGTTCCTACTTACGCGGCAAGTGCAAATTGATCGAAGAACTGCTGGCACCACGTTTGCTATTAGTATGAAGCGCCGAAATGTGACGAACAGAGGGTGACAAGGGTGATGAGGAGGAGGGCAGTGTTGGTAATGGTGACGACAGAGTGTTTCCCCTTTGAAAACAGGCGGAAAAGACGGGCATTTGGGTATAGCTGCTGCTGATGTTTCTGGTGCTGCTATCCCTTCTCAAAGGGACAACAACAACAACATTTCTTGCAGATGACGACAATGGCCGGCGACAGTGGCACAAACTTTGCAGCTGTAGGAGGCAGCTTCGGCTCTTCATTCTTAGATAGTTGTGCATGACGAGTGTTGCTGCTGCTGCTGTTGACTACTTCTGCCCAGATCGATTGAGAGAGGCCGGAAGAATATAATTTACAAATCGATTGAGTCGACTAATTGCCACCAATGGAAAGGGAAGGGGAGAGCAGAAGAATCGACGTGGTGAAAGGGGGTGACACTCCGAANCCCTTCTCAAAGGGACAACAACAACAACATTTCTTGCAGATGACGACAATGGCCGGCGACAGTGGCACAAACTTTGCAGCTGTAGGAGGCAGCTTCGGCTCTTCATTCTTAGATAGTTGTGCATGACGAGTGTTGCTGCTGCTGCTGTTGACTACTTCTGCCCAGATCGATTGAGAGAGGCCGGAAGAATATAATTTACAAATCGATTGAGTCGACTAATTGCCACCAATGGAAAGGGAAGGGGAGAGCAGAAGAATCGACGTGGTGAAAGGGGGTGACACTCCGAACTACTGTTTCTGTACACTAGGTCAGTTGAAGAAGAAGATGGAAAGACGAGGCAAAGATGTTGTGTGTGCAGAGATGATTGCCGTACAAAACACACATCCAGGCAAGTAGACACTGGAGATATCCCCTCGAAGGCCTCCTTTGGAAATGACTGTCTCTTAGCTGGCAGCAGCAGCAAAACATGATGCTGCTCGTCGTCATCATCAGCATCTTCTTCAGTGCTGCCGCTGCTGTGGCCAATGAGGATAAGTGAGCAGAGACATCAGAGATAAGACAGAGATATCAGTCGGTCGATGCGAACAGCAGTGGTAGCTGAAAATCTCTCTCACACTCTCACTCTCTTTCAACGATCAGCTCACTTTCGAGCGAGTGAGCGAAGAACAGAAGACTGTCACTCTCTTCAAGGTGAGCCGGTTTGCTCTCCCATCAGCAGACCACCACCACCACCGACTCATCATTGCCTGACGCAGAAGCGGTCTGCTCCCTGTTACATACATCTCATCTAATCAGCGACGATTATTTCTGATGATGATAGTCAGTGCAAAATGTTATGTTTCGATTGTAGACCTAAAAATGTACCACTATTTGCTCCTATCTACCACAGAATGACAAAAAGGCTAGCTTTTGAATTTTTACAAGCTCACTGGAAGTGTTTTTATTATTGCAAACAAACGGATAAAACAAACAAGAAATGATGAGAAGGAGGAGAAGGAGAAAATCACAACAAGACAGTAGATAAACCATGATAGAGTAGAGAGAGGGAGAAAAGGAGTTCAAATCAGGAGTTCAAGGAGGTGGTGTGGTGAACAAGAAAGAAGTGGAGAAGAGACGAAACGGGCGACAGTAACACGCGATGCATGAACAAAATTGTTGGTTCAATGGGAAAAGGAGGAGGTTTGTTGGGAGAATTGAGGAGGAAGGGAAAGGAGCTTTAAATGGTGAAAACGAGCTCCACCTCCAGAGCTCCTCTAGCTCGGGAGTTTCTAAGAGTGACAAAGTGTGTGGGTTTCATCAAATTCAAAAAAGAGAACATTCCACAGGAGGAGACGAAAAGGAGATAAGAGGATAAATGGGAAAGGGAAGGTAAACAAAGCCATCGTCATCGTTAATCACTACTCGTGGAAGAGTGATGCTGCAGACTGGCAGTTCGACTGTGCAGTGACTGCAGTGACTTGGGTCGAGGGCCCAGGGTAGACGGGTCGTCGTTGCAGTCGTCGTCGTCGGTGGACAAGTGATGCTGCTGCTGTTGGCGGGGGTGATCTACTCCACCTGCCCCTCCTCCTCTGGACTGCTCTTTGGAATGAGGATCACTGGCCGATCTGCTGACTCGAAAGCCACCACAGATTCCAACACTACAGCCACCACCAGCCCCACCTTCAGTTGAGGTGGTGGAGCCGTTTGAAGAGGTGGCAGAGAGACTTTGCTTCTTCGAGCCGCCGATGCTGCTTCCCGAATTAGGGCGACAGATGACAAACTCAGCCTCCTCCTCTTCGGCCTCGGTGGAGGCGCACGACTCTGGTCGCTCCTCGACGAGCACTGCATTCGAAGAGTCCTGCACCTTGATGGTCGGCTGCTGAAGTTGTTGTTGCTGCTGCTGTTGTTGTTTATGACGTTGCTGCTGCTGTGAGATGCGAATCAGCACCGGATCGGTCAGCGCCAGACATTGGTCACGCTTCGACTTGGAGAGGCTAAAGTTCTTCTGCAGCTCCGAGGTGGACATTCGCCGGTAGGCCATGCGAGACTCGTCGATTCGGTGGTGGTCGCTGACAGTATCAGCAGAACTGTTCGGCAGGAACTGCTGCTGCCTCGTCTCAATAATGACGCTCTTTGGGCGGCTGCCATGCAGCTTCTTCGACAGCAGACCACCACCTGTGCTTGTCTGGGCAATGGGCGCCAGGCGGTGGTGTTTGGTGATGATCGAGGAAGAGGTAGAAGCAGAAGCGCCTGATGTGCCACCAAGATGAGGCATATTGGGCATGGCCAGTGGAGAGGGTGATCTGGAGGTGGGCGAGGTTGAGGCGAGCAGGTGGCCTCCAGCTGCAGCACCGCCGCCGCCGCCGCCGACCATCACCGGCGAGGCGCCGCCATTGGAGCGGGCCAGCGGCGAGAGCGGTATGTGACCGCATGACTTTCGCCGTGGCGTTCGAAAGGTCTGCTTCAGCTTAAACTTCAGTCCGTCCAGGCTGGAGGGTCGCGTGGAGGAGGAGGCCGGCGAGTTGGGCACGGAGTTGGTGGGCGAGGAGTCCACGGAGGAGTTGCTGCCACCACCACAGTTACCACCAGCCGAAGAATTGGAAGAGTCAGAGTACAGTGAGTGGGACTGCATTATGCTCGCCGGAGAGGCACCAGCACCAGCCGCCGCCGTTTGAGGTAGCAGACGAGTGCCACTGCTGCCACTCGAATGAACACTGAGATGGGTGACAGAGGCCGGGGAGTTGGCCACCTTGCCACCTGCAGAAGGAGGAGGAGTAGTTCCCACCACAGAATTGTCCACTGAAGAGCTGCNTCCACGGAGGAGTTGCTGCCACCACCACAGTTACCACCAGCCGAAGAATTTGAGGAGTCAGAGTACATTGAATGAGTCTGCATTATGCTCACCGGAGAGGCACCAGCACCAGCCGCCGCCGTTTGAGGTAGCAGCCGAGTGCCACTGCTGCCACTCGAATGAACACTGAGATGGGTGACAGAGGCCGGTGAGTTGGCCACCTTGCCACCTGCAGGAGGAGGAGGGGTAGTTCCCACCACAGAGTTGTCCACTGAAGAGCTGTTGTTGGCCTTGGGGAATGAGTTGTAGCTTCGACTGGGCGTAATCTGACTGCCGCTGCCGCCCACGCTGAGAATGCTGCCCTTTGGGTGGTGCGTCGACAGGGGCGAGGTGGGCGGCGTGGAGCCGGCCTGTGGCGGCAGTCCTGCCACACCACCACCACCACCTCCTCCGGTGACATGCAGCGGCATCATCAGCTGGTGAATGTCGGCGCTGGCCCGCTTGGAGCTGAGCCGGCGGAGCAGCGACGACCGCCGCCGCTTGTCCGAGTCACTGCGCTTCACATTGGAGGCGGCCGCTCCCTTCACATTGCGGTGCAGCTTGCTCGTCTGACTGCTGTTCGAGCCCTGCGGCCGCTTGGCCATCTTGCTGATGTTCGGATTGCGCTTTCGACCGCCCGACTTGATGGTCGTGTTCTCCAGCGGAGTCGTGCGAATGTTGATCAGGTCGCCGCCGGAGAGCATCAGTTGAAGAACCTTAAAGAGGAGAGAGAATGTTAAAATGTGTTTGAAATTGTCTTTTTCCAAAATCCCTGTTTACCTGATGGTGGAGCAGTCCCTGAATGGACTCGCCATTGATGTGCGTAATCAGATCGCCCGGTCGGAGGCCGGCCTCAAACGCCGGACTGTTGCACTTCACCGACTGCACCAGGTGGTTGATGGTGTAGTAGTCTGACTCGCCGTAGTAGACGCGAATCGCCTTCAGACTGAAGCCGAAGCCGCGCGGGCCCTTCCGCAAAATGATGGGCGGCTTCAGCTGCAACGACAATGAGTTCATCTCCCGGTTCGGCGAGGCATCTCGAGAGCTGGCGTTCGAGCCGCCTGAAGAGCACATCACCTGTGGTTTAATGTGATGGTGGTGGTTCGAAGAGGCGGAGGAGGCGGCAGAAGCGGGTGAAGAGTTATTACCATCATGGTCGATGTTGCTGCTGATGCTGCTGGGAATAATGAGCGAGAGGCCAGAGGCAGAGGCGGACTTTATCACCGCCCGGGACTTGTTGTTGGGCGTCTTCGCGGCCAGACCGGAAATGGCAATCAGCTTGCTGGGAAGTTGACCACCACCACTTGATGATGAGGAGACGTCTCCGATGGCAACCTCGTCCCCAGAGGAGAGGTTCTGAATCAACGTCTCCAGACTAGGCTCACCACTGTGTGCTGCGCCGCCTCCTCCTTGAGTCCTGTCCGAGTCGTCGACGCTGAAGGAGAACTTTGGCAACATCAAACTGGGATGCTTCGGTTTGTTTCCGCTGTCAGCAGAGGAGTAGCTGCCACTGCCGCCGCCGATGCCGCTGTCCACCNCACTGTGTGCTGCGCCTCCCTGAGTCCTGTCCGAGTCGTCGACGCTAAAAGAGAACTTTGGCAACATCAAACTGGGATGCTTCGGTTTGTTGCCGCAGTCAGCAGAGGAGCAACTGCCACTGCCGCCGCCGATGCCGCTGTCCACCGTTGAGGCTGTTGATGTGGCACTGTTCACCGAGAGGGCCGTCGCCGAGTCGGTGGACTTGGAAAGTGGACTGAGTCGCAGTTCGCCCATGCCACCGTGGTGACCACCACCACCCCCAGAACCTGAACTGGACTTTGCAGGTGTGCTCTGCGCGTACGACAGCGGAATCTTCAGTATGGCCTCGGAGTTGGTGGTGGTGGTGGAGACGGTTCCCAGAAGTGACCTGCTCAACGGCTTGCACTCCACAATGCCCTTCGGAGAGTTAGAGTTAGAGCCTCGAGAGCTCGTCAGGCGGTCCTCGGTGACGCTCAGCGAGCGGGAGATCAACATCTCCGCCTTCATCAGGTGATGTGAGGAGGCAGAGGTAGTGTTAGGACCACCGCCTGCAGTGTTTGAATCAGCATTCGGCGAATTGGGACTAGTAGTGGTGACGTCCTTCAGCGAGGAGGAGGAGGTCGAAGAGCGCAGACGACCACCAATTTCCGGTTGAAGGCTGTCAGAGCCAAAACTTCCGACTCCGCTCTCCTTGCAGACGCTGTACACGCGGTGGTAGCGCGGCGAACACGAGGAGAAGGAGCCAAAGAGCGAGCTGTCGTCAGTGTCATGGCCATCATCCGAGTCCTCCTCGCCCTCCCCCACACACTCGTGGTTGTATCGGTCAGAGCGGGTGTCAAAGTAGCTGGTGTCGTCCTCGCCGTCCAGCTGCGGCACAAACTCCGCCTTCTGCCTGAGCAGCGAGTCCCAGTCAATCTCATCAAAGAAGGGATGCGCCTTCACCTCCGCCGATCCGCCGGCGCCCAGTCGGTCAAAGGGCGAGTGCTCCAGCAGGCGCGTGATGACGTCCTTCGACTCGTCCGTCAGCGGCCAGTCTTCCTCGTCCGGCCACTCGATGCTGTCGTTGATCACATGTNTCATCAAAGAAGGGATGCGCCTTCACCTCCGCCGATCCGCCGGCGCCCAGCCGGTCAAAGGGCGAGTGCTCCAGCAGGCGCGTGATGACGTCCTTCGACTCGTCCGTCAGCGGCCAGTCCTCCTCATCGGGCCACTCGATGCTGTCGTTGATCACGTGGGCAAAGAGCTCCTCGGGCGTCTCGCCAAAGAAGGGCACGCAGCCAATGAGAAACTCGTAGAGGATGACGCCCAGCGACCACCAGTCGACCGTCTTCGCGTAGCCCTGCTTCAGAATCACCTCCGGCGCCAGGTACTCGGGCGTGCCGAAGACCTGCTTGTCGGTGAACTGCTGCGACTCGCGGTCGTAGTAGCCCTCGCTGAGGGACGTCGCCAGGTTCATCAGGCCCATCTTGGAGAGGCCAAAATCGGTCAGCTTGATATGTCCGAGGGCGGTGATGAGCAGGTTGTCCGGCTTCAGGTCGCGGTGGACGATGCCAAAGGAGTGCAGGTACTCCACCGCCAGGACGGTCTCCGCAAAGTACAGCCGCGCCAGGTCGAGGGGAAAGGGGCCGATGTGCTTGAGGAGGGTGGCACAGTCGCCGCCCTCGACGTACTCCATGACCATGCAGAGGTGCTTCTTCGTCTCGAAGCTGCACAGCATGCTCACCACAAAGGGATTGTCGGTGAAGCTCATGATGTCCCGCTCGGCAAAGACCTGCTCCACCTGGTTGCGCATCACCAGGTTGTGCTTGTT